GCCACCTCCAACGTATCGCCCCCCTGCCGGTCCGGATACGTGCTGTCGCACGTCCACCCTCCTCCTTCCCCTCTCCCTCTCCGCCTGAGGCTCCCTGCCGCACATGATGTCCAGCCAGGCCGATTGTCCCAATGAGGCGGACTTTTCTGAGCCCACGGTCGCGCGTCGGGTAGCCCCTGCCCTCGGGCCAAATGGCTTTCCCTCGCCCGACATCCCGCCACACCACGCCGCCTCTCCCTTGCTCTCGTCCACCCACTCCTCGGGTGACTATCACGACGGCGCGCAATCCAGCTCCGCCTCAACCACCCCCCTGCTGAAGGGCTCCTCCAGCTCCACCGCTACCGCCACCGCCGGTGCTCCTCCCGCCCTCTTGAGCACTGCCACCCCCATTGCTGGCGCCTCTCCTGGCCCTGCAACGCCTCCTCCCTCCCCGTCGGCCATGTCTTCCTGGCCTGCGGTTCGTCGCCGGCTGGCGCGGCATCTTTGCGCCACCATTGTCATCGTGGTGGCTCTCATTTCGATCTTGGGCTACCTGATCGACATCCGCCGTCCGGTGAAGATCACCCCCACATCTGACGGTATGTACACGCTTTGCCCCCCCCCCCCCCCCCCCCTCCCCCTTCGCCGGCAGCACCCTGCCCCATCTGCCGGCCATCCCTCGGCCGACCGCCTGTGCTGACATCCTTCCCTCCGTTTCCCTTGTCCCTCCTTCCCTCCCTCGCGCCATGTTCCCCCTGTTGCTGTGGCAAATAGCTGGGCTTCCCTCGCCGGGTCACCACACCGATCGGCTCTTCTGGTTCTCCCAGGTGTCGGACATCCACATCAGTCAGTTCCACCCGGAGCATGCTGATAACCTGCGCGTCTACCTGGAGCACGTCCTGCCGGTCATTGACCCGGAGCTGGTCATTGCATCCGGCGATCTGACTGACGGCCTGGACACCCGTGCGTCATTATCGCTGTTGTTCATGCTTCATGCTCCCCCCATTCGATTGTGCCGACCCCAAATCCTGTCACTGACCATCTTTCTCTCTCTCTCTCTCTCTCTCTCCCTCCCCCCCTCTCGACCCTGTTGCTCGTCCCCACTTTCTCCTTCATGGCCTGCCAGCCAACAATGCCATCTACAACCGCAACCGCCAGATCGAGGCTGAGTGGTCCACGTACCGGGCCCTGCTGGAGGAGTTCAATGTCCTGCAGGACCCGAACTTCTGGCTGGACATCCGCGGCAACCATGACTCGTACACCGCCCCACCGGGCACTGAGCGCGATCTCTTTGTTCAGTATGGTGCGCGTGGCGACGAGGACAGCACTTACTACCAGGTAGAGGTGGTGAAGGTACGCGCGCACTGCATTGGTCCCCCTGCCCGCGTCCGCGCCCGCACCCGCGTCCGCGCCCGCTCCCTCTTCCGACTCTGCAATGCCTCTGCCCTCATGCGCGGTCTGACCCCCCCCCCCCCCCCCTCCCCCTTCTAGCCCTATGGCCAGTACCGCTTCGTTGGTTTCGACAGCACCTCCGGCCTGCAGGGCATGAACGCCCCGTTCTCTTTCTTTGCCGCTCTGGCGCCGGGCCCCGATGTGTCCGGCCTGATTGACATGGTGTCTCGCCCGGGCGTGCGTTTGTTTTTTTTGTCATCTTCTTTCCCTTCCCGCCCGACTCGCCTCTCCCCCAGGCCACTGCTGCTGCTGCTGCTGCTGCTGCTATACAAGCCTCACTCACCGCTTCTCCTCCTGCCTCCCCTCCCCCCACAGTCCAATCACACGGTCCTCTTTGGCCATCACCCCCGGTCGGTGTCCAGTATTCACCTGCCCTGGCAGGCCCTGTCACGCGGATCGATCGCCTACCTGTGCGGGCATCTGCACCAGGCGGACATGTACACCGCGCCGCCGAACCTGGACGACGCGCACCTGGAGCTGGAGCTGGAGGACATGCGCACGCATCGGACCTTCCGCATGCTGGCCATGGATCACGACCTGTTCAGCTTCATCGACACGACCCTCGGCCCGGCCACCTTCCCCCTGGTGCTGCCCACCACGCCGAAGGACTCGCGGCTGCTGACATCGCGCGAGCCGCTCGGCCTGCAGATCCGGCCCGATGGACTGATGCGCGTGCTCATTTGGCTGCCCAATGACCACCAGCTGACCCTGGGGCAGGTCCTGATTGACGGAGTGCAAGTGGGCAACCTGCGCCGTGTGACGGCCGGCCATCCGCTACACACCTGTACCTGGAACCCGGAGCGGTACCTCGACGGCAAGACGCACCAGGTGACCTTCCGCGTGCAGGCGGCTTTCACCGGCGCGCCTGGCTCCGCGCGGCATCCCCTGACCACGCTGGACCCGGTGGAGGTGACGGTCCCGATGCATCTGGGCCACCAGCGCCAGGCCCCGGGGTCCTTGCTGATGACGGCCCTGCAGCGCATGCATCTGGCCAAGTTCTTCCTCAGCCTGGATGTGGTCTTCTTCACGTACTTCATTGCCCTGTTGACGGGTGGGCTGTTCATGCACTTTGCCTTCCCGCCGGTCACCGGCCGGCGTCGCGGCAGCCACACCTCTTCCGGCGGGAGTGCCAGCGAGCCGGGCGCCACTGGCGGCAGCGGCGGGTCGGCCGAGTCCCGGATCGTCCTGTCGGATCCGGAGGACGAGTTCTCCGACACCAAGACCGGTGTGATGCTGGTCATGCCGGCGACCGGTGGCAGCAGCAGCAGCAGCAGCAGCAGCAGTGCGCCCGGCTCGCCCGGGTCTCCGGGCGGGGATGCCGGCGAAACCGTGGCCCTGGTGGCGGCGGTCGGTGGCGGAGCCAGCGGCCTGACCCCGGAGGCGCCTCGGCATCGGCCGTCTGCCAGCGAGGAGGTTCCCTTCTGGAAGCTGGTACTGCTGGCCTGGAAGGCGCATTTGATCCGCGTGGGGCGTCTCTCTCCGGTGGCCTTTACCTTCCTGTCCGGGTCGCTGGTGTGCCTGGGGGTGGGTCCGGTATTGGCCGGGCCGCTGGCCGGCTTCGAGCACCCGTGGGCTGTGGCCTTTTCCTGGGGCGCGGCCACCCCCTTCGGGTATGCTCCGGCCCCGGAGATGCTGGCCATTGTCCTGCTGATTGGCATTTGCATCTATGCGCCAGCCTTCGCGGCCATTGTGCGCATCGAGGCTGAGATGCGCCGGCGCCAGCGTGGTCGCGGTGCCCGCAGCCTTGGCCCGGCCATCACCCTCATCTCCATGTCGGTGTTCTTCACGGTGCTGATGCTCATCCTGCTGGGTGGCTGGCTGCGTGTTGAGACGGCCCTCCTCTCGCCGATGGGGCTGTGGTTCGAGCTGTTGGCGGTGACCTTGTTCACCGTGCGCTGGGTCAAGCTCGAGTGCCGGACTCGTGTCTTCTGCAAGTCGCAGTAAAAGGCGAGAGTTTGCGCACGTGTGTGTGCGCGCGCGCGCGCGCGTGTGTGTGTGTGTGTGTGTGTGTCCCACTATGGGCCCGCCCGTTAGAGGTTTTCTACTTATTATCTTGCTTCCTCCTTGCCCTTGCTTCCCTCTCCTCGTGGCGCAGATGTCTGCGAGCATGCACTCGCACACATCCCCCACCTCACGCCTCTTCCAGTTTCCTCCCCTGTCTCTCCTCTCTCTCTCCCCTTCTCTCCTTCCATATATCCTGCTCTTTTCGCATGTCAATATTGGCTCCATGCTTGTGTTGTCTCGATGTTGTTTCCTGGTCCCCAGCGGGCGGGCCCATCACATCATGAAAGGGGGTTCGCGCGCGGGTCCACCATGCAGTCTGCCCCTCTCCTCACGGGAAGGCTGACACCTAGCCTGTGCTCTCCTCCTTCCCCCCTCCCTCGCTCCCTCCCTTTGTCCTCGCTTTTTTTGCCCCCGGGCGACGGGAGAGAGTGCAGCCATGTATAAAGCAAACATCATGGAATGTCCAGCAGTGTGCGACACAGGTGCATGGAATAAAGAAGATGCCTCTTCCCCCTTGTCTCTTTCCCCCTTGTCTCTTTCCCCCTTGTCTCTTTCCCCCTCGCCTGCTGGCTCCCTTGTCGAGGCCCTCGTGCAATGATCGATTCGTGTGATCACATGACCATATACTCGCATGGTCGGTGTTCGAGCGCGATTGGTTTTCTTCTGCTGTGGCGGGGGGGGGGGGAGGCTGCGTTGTTCCTCTGCGTGTCCCCGTCTGATGCCCTGTTCCTCGCAGGCAGCCAGGGCCGATGGGGATGGATTCGCAAGAGGGGGGGCACTGCAGTGACAAATACACAATGAAAACCTGCACCACCACCTCCACCACCTCCCCCCACCACGCCATCTGCCTTTCCTTTCTCTTTTCCTTCTCCTTCTCTCTCCCTCCCTCTCTCCCTCTCTCTCTCTCTCTCTCTTGCAGCCCTTTCTTTCTTTCTCCTGCCAGTCAAACATGAAGGGATCTCTCACCCCGGCGACCAAGCGGAAGTCAATTTCCACTGAAGCGGCCCCGGTCGGCAAGCGGGCCAAGTTGTCCAGTGCCGCGACCCAGGATCCCCGTTTTGCCCGGGTGTTCAGCGAGGAGGAGGCCTCCGATGCCAATGAGGAGGACGACCTCGAATCGCCCGTTGACACTGACGATGAGGCTGACGAGGATGCCAGTGGTGCTGAGGATGACCTCGACGCTGACAGCAGCGATGAGGATGACGGGAGCAACGAGGACGACGATACTGGGGACGATGATGATGAAGACGATGAGGGCGACGAGGACGACGAGGACGACGATGAGGGCGACGAGGACGATGAGGATGACGAGGACGATGGGGATGATGAAATTGACTCCTCGATCGATCTGCGCCCCCTGACTCCGGCCGCCCTCTCGGCCTTTAAGGCCGACCTTGAAAAGACCGGTGTCGTCTATCTGAGTCGCATCCCGCCGTTCATGCGCCCGCACGCGCTCAAGAGTCTCCTGTCACACCACGGGAAGATCGGGCGAATTTTCCTCAAGCCTGAGGGTACGCGCGCTCTCTCTCTCTCTCTCTCTCTCTCTCTCTCTCTCTCTCTCT